CTGGGGAGGGGGAGAGGGTGAGCGAGGCCCTGGGCGGCGCCTCCCCAGACGGCCCCTCCCCAGGCGGGGGCGGGGCGCTCACTCACCGAAGTAGACCCTCTTGTTGCAGCGAGGACACATGTTGGGCTCCCCAGTGAAGGTGGTGACGCTGGAGGCTGTGGGGGGAGGCGAGTCAGGGCCGCCAAGGGGCTCCCGAACCTCCCCCTCGACGCAGAGTCCGGCCCACCTTTGCTGGGCCCCTTTGGGGGGCCACTCGCCTTCCGCTCCTCAGCTCGGGCCACGGGCACCTCGATGGGGCCAGTGACCTGCGGGCCCTCTACAGCGGGCTTCTCGTAGATGTAGGAGCCGGCACCGCCGATGTTCACACCTGGGGGAGGCAGGCACGGTGGGGGGGGGGGCCATGCCCTCGCCCACCACCCAGGCCTCACACCGCACCCAGCTTCTCAGAAAATGGCCCTCAGCCCGGCCAGCGTGGCTCAGTGGTTGAGCATCGACCTATGAACCAGGAGGTCACAGTTTGATTCCCGGTCAGGGCACAGGCCCGGGTTGCAGGCTCCATCCCTGGTGTGGGGCGTGCAGGAGGCAGCTGATCAATGATTCTCTCTCATCATTGATGTTTCTATCTCTCTCCCTTTCTCTCTGAAATCAATAATAATATTTTTTATTTATTTTTAAAATATTTTTTATTGATTTCAGAGAGAGGAAGGGAGAGAGAGATTGAAACATCAATGATGAGAGAGAATCACTGATTGGCTGCCTCCTGCACGTCCCCTATTGGGGATCGAGCCGCAACCAGGGCCTGTGCCCTTGACCGGAACTGAACCGGGAAGCTTCAGTCTGCAGGCCGATGCTCTATCCACTGAGCCAAAGCGACCAGGGCAATAATAATTTTTTTCTAAAAAAGAAAGAAAAGAAAATGGCTCTCTATGGCCCATTCTATTGGGGTCAGGACCCTCTCCCAGGGGGCACCGTGAGCTGGGACTGTCCTGGAAAGGCCCCCCCCCACCCCCTTCCCGGCAGCCAGAGCAGAGCCAGCGGGGCGGCCTCCTGAGCTCACCTTTGGGTCCGAACAGCGTGGCGTAGCAGGGCTTGTGGCAGAACGGCTTCCCGTCATGCTAGGTGGAGGGGCATGGGGCACGGGGTGAGGCCGGTGCCTGGGCCCGCTGACCCCCCGACCCGAGCGGGGGGAGAGCCATGTGGCCCCAGCCCAGCCCCAGAGGGAGGCTTACCTCCGCGTGGCCCCCGGGCGTCAGCGTCTTGCTGCAGCGCTCACACTTCAGGCAGAACTTGTGCCAGTCCTTGCCCAGCGAGCTCACTTTCTCGGCTGCGGGGAGAGGAGGCCAGAGCCCGCCATGCACCCCCTCTACTCCTCAGGGCCCACGCTGTCCCCCTGGTCTGGGTGGCCCTCACTGCCCCAGGGCTGTGAGCTGGAGGGTCATCAGTAACCCCAACATCACACCTGCCCCTCCTGCACACCTGCCTCACCGTCTCCCTCACACACATCCCTGACCAGCCCCGAACCCCCAGTCAGGCTCCGGGGGAGCTGGCAGAGGCCCTGGTCCGGGGGAGTGGCCTGAGCCTCCAGACCCCTGTGGGGAGGCCAGTTCCAGCCCCGGGAGGGACCCGAGGGACAGGACGCCTGCCTGTCTGCACTTGGCCCTGAGCGTCCCCACCCACTGCCTCCAGCTGCTGCTGTGGAGCCCACGGTCTGGGACCAGCTGCTGAGGGTCGGCTGGGCCCCCTCCCCATCCCCCACATGGTGTGGGGCTGCTTGGCCATCTCCGAATGATGGGAAGTGGGGGGGCTCTCCAGGGTGCATGGCAGGAAAAGGGCCGAGGAGAGGGCAGGAAGAGAGGCCAGGGAGCAGGCGGAATTCCGGGTGGGGGCAGGCTGGGCCCAGCAGCTCTGTCCGCCTCACACAGAGGTGATGTCTGGGCCGGGCCTCCCCTAGGGCCCGGCAGCCTGGGAGTGGGGTCCCTCAGGCCCCCCACCAGGGCAAGGCGGGAGCTTGGGAGCCCAAGGCTGTTCGGACGGTGCCAGCCGAGTCCTCGCCCGGTTCCCCTGGCCAGGTCAGGGTCACCACCGCCACCCTGCACTGGGGTTCTGGGACGTGGCCACTCGGGGCAGGGGATGACCCTTAGACCCAGGGGCAGGTCAACAGCCGCACATAGCTGGCCGAGCTGGGGAGACAGACTTCACGGGGCCTATGGCTTGGAAAGGAACTGGCACCCCACCCGGCCGCACCATTGTTGGGGACACAAAGGCACACTATCCCTGTCCCACTCTGCTCACACTCAGGTGTCGGCTACTGAGGAGGGGGTGCTGGGGTGCAGCCTGCTGGGCGGTGGGCAGGATCCCGGCCCCCCCCTCCGCCGCCAGTGCCTCCGGCCAGGACGGCCGCCAGCGGGTCTGAGCGCCTTTGTTTCCTGCTAGGAGCCCGGCCGCCCAGGCTGGCAGCGCATTTTTCCGCCTCGTCCACAGGACTGTCCACCCAGCGGGAGGGTAGCCGGGGGCAAAGTTGGCAGCAGGGTGGGCAGGAGGACCCGGGGGCTGTCTCCCGCCCTGCACCCCCGGCAGGAGCCCTCTCTGGGGTGGACGGAGGGCTGAGGGCTCCTGGGAGGCGGCGGCAGGAAGCCCCTCGGCTCCCGGCCAGGCCAGAGGCTCTCCAGGCCAAATCCGGTCCCTCCCTCTGGGAACAGCAAACAACCCCTGGCCGCCGCCTCCTCCGGCCCTGCCGCCAGCAGGGAGGCCAGGCGGCTTCCCTCACTCGGGCCTGACCCCGCCCTGGCCCCTGACCACTGCTCCAGAGTGACCAGGGAAGGGGCCCTGTCTGTCCCCACCCGTCTGGCCATCCTGCCTTCTGGCCCGGTCTCCCCTCTTCGCAGGCGGGTGGGAGGGGCGGAGCGGGGCTGGGAGAGCGGGGAGCGAGCAGTCAGTGGGTGAGCGCCAACCCCCGCCCCTCTGCCCGCTG